TGCGATATATCAAAACAACCCGGGCAAGTCGACTTAATAATGATGCATTGATATGAAATTGAATATATAAATGAACTGCTACTTACAGCCAGATCCTTATTCTTTGCTTTCTTCTCTTCATCGGCGTAATTCGGGCTCCAGGAAGTCAGAATACGATCTGCAAAATGTCTGAGATCTCCCCTTCCCTATTTTATTCAAATATATCATTAACCCATAACACATAAATTATACTCAACGTAAAAGCTAATATATTATATACCTCAAGCTCTAATTGATGATAATGCTGGCTGAATGTCCTGGAGCCCCCGTGATGCTCGTAACTGCGAGGTGCGTTGCGATTCCTCCTTGCTATTTCAGCTTGAGCCTGCAAAACAATGTCAATTCGAAATAATATAGAAATTCAAATAATAAATTAAAAATATATACTTCAATAATACCTGAATTTCAGCCGTGTCCCAGTAACTGCAAAGTGCAAAAAAATCTACTCCATCCACACGTGTGTCAAGATGCCAGTATCACTCCCAATCTTCTGTTATTTGGACAAAATATTTTTTCTTTACCTCAAACCGCCATCTCTTGAACGATACATTGATTTGCCCGAAGCAGTACGTCCAGGCACAAATATTATCGTCAAGAAAGAAAAATCGCTTCAGCATATAAAGAAAAAGTAGATACAAATCAGTGTATTAAACATAATAATAAACTAATAACTAATAATGATAAAAATTAAAATAAATCACCAGCGTATCAATCCGCTGCGATTTCCACGTCAAAAATATGTTGAAGAAATCGTGTCTCCTGGCTAAAACGGCAAGGAAATTGTTGAAAGCATTGGCAAAGGCCCCAACAGGCACTCCGTTTTCCCATCGGATCACAGCCCTCCGATTAATATCAGGGATGAGGTTCGATTCCTTAGTAGCATTGCGGCCGCATCTAGGAGGTCGCTCGGTACCTGCGAAACAAAGAATCGAATGAAATAATGAATCAATATATATTTGCGAAAAAAATTTAAAATAATAACCGATAGACTCTAAAAATTTATTCATACCTTTTAGTTTGAGGCATCTACGCTTTGCTTGTTCGTACCTTTGCTGCGCGATGGGGCGCATATCATGATAAGAATCCCAATCATCCCTTACCTTGGCCGGACCGTGGACTCACTGATCCGTAATAGAATCTGGCGGTAGTGCCGCAGTTTCTAAAGCTATGCTATACGGCTCAAATCTCCTCTCCTCCAATATATCTGCATGCGGTGGTGGTGGTATCTCCGCATGCTG